ATCTATTCCTGACTAAAATTCAGTTGATAAATATAACATATAAAGAGCCAGGAAATATCAACCACCATGGCTGAAAAGATCATCGATATTCAATTGAGTTATGTCTGTAGGATGAAGATAAGGTCTCAAAGCGTTTTGTGAAAGATTGATTCCTCAGAAGACATCAGGCTGCTTTAGGATATATATCAATTAATACAAAGACATCATACATATATATAAATACAATGTATATGTTTGACTTAAATTACTTACAGATCATATTATACAAAAAAATATATAAGCAGATGAAGGATGATGATAACTGACGATTGGTTACAGAAGTGAAAACCCTCAACAGATGCAGCCCCTAGGAAAGAAAGATAAGTCAAGTAAAAAGGACTCAGGTTACTGGACCAGCCTAAATTCAATCAAATGTAAATTACATAAGTAACATAAGAATTAGTGTTGACTCAAAGGTGAACTGTCCTCCTATAAATAAAACATACCTCTTGTAAGTAAACACCTCTTGTAAGTAAACAACCCAAAGATGAACACCATCCAAAGCTAGATAGTGGCTCTGACCTTTAAATAATGGGAAGATACCCCCCAAAAAAAAACCATCATCCAAGGTTAGGCAATGGCTCTGCTGTTGAATGCAGTAATAATAGAGTTACTAAATAGCTATGATAGTTGAACAGCAATGCAAATCTAAAACTACAAACAAAGGAACCAAAAGAAGGAGGCAAAATCACCTTTATACCATCTGACAGCCAAAGTACAACTTCACAATCCTGCTGCAGCTACAGTAAAGAGAACATGCTTTGGTCTGCCTCATATATATAAATGGATCCCGCAGCACATTGGGAACATGGGCACGGTGCCAGCCATCATTGCACATGCCAAGTGATGGCAGGGAAGACCATACACTAGTCCCCTCCAACCTGACCTCCCAAGCACTTGCAGCCACTGCAAGCCTTGCAGGATGACTTCACCTGCTGATACACATTGACGCTCCCATCAGCACGCCATGCCATGGACAGTACAAGAAGTAGAAGCAAATGGACCATGCGATACCAAGAACTAAATACCTTTCCAAAGTCCAAAATGACCACAGTACAGTGATCAAAACCACATGACCTCACATCACTAACCCTACACAAAAACAACCCATGCAAGCACCACCAACAGTTAACAAATAAAAAAAATATATATCATAGAAACAAACACCAAAAGTAAATAGAAAATTAAATTATTAAAATAGGTTCTGGTGCACAGAGATAGAATATCCCAGAATAATACCATATCCGATAAAAACAGAATAAGAAATATATACATATATATATAGAGAAAACACACAATAGCCTACTGGCTGTCAGGGCACTTCAAAAAAGAGGGCATTATGATTAACGTCCATAGACATATATGAGCCCTTGACAGTTCCTAAAACCCTGAGGTTTAGATCGCAACAGCCATCCTTTAGAGTAATGCCAACTCTGAATATAGTCAAAATAGGAGAGAGAAGGAGGTGCCAGCTAAGTGTAGTGGTTAGTAATGTATTATAGCATTTATTAGCATAGGATTAAAAACACTCGCAGAAAATACAAAAATATAAAGCTCATCTGTGGGTGTATGTGGAGCCTTTCCTCTCCATCCTGCAGGTTCTGCCGATACTACACCTAGAACACCATGGGAATGGGCTGAGATGGTTGGAAGCCGTGTCTGCCGGTCATACTCCTAGAACACCATGGTGAATATGATTATTTGCTATCAGGTGTCATTGTGAAATAAAGAGAGCAAGACATCCCCCAATGAAACACCTCCTAAAGGCCTGGAAACCCATACCCATTCCAATCCACAATATTTTTTTTAATGTTTAGTATTCAGTATACTTGACTTTTTCAGCTGTCTTTTGGTCAATCATGTGACTACCAGGCCTTCTTCCTATTCTTTTCTTGTCCAGTAGTGCAGCCCTGAATGTTATGACATCAGTGCTGTTCTCTGCAGAATTCTACTCTGAGGGTGTTTGGGCTCACTGAAAGGAGGTTCAATGATGCTGGGATTTTAACCTGAAAGAGGACAGTCATTAGACCATGGAGTGGTGAGTCTGCAGGTATAGCACTGGAGGAGGGGGTGAGTATTTTAGCAAAAGCTGCATTTGTTTTTCAACCGGTAAGGACGGTTTATTTAAAGAAATAACAATTATGAAGTTTGGCACTTTCATAATTTTGAAAATTATTGAAGTTAAGTCATAGATAATCAGTTTCATCTAAAAGTGAAATTTTAGGTAAAGCATGATGGGCCATGCTAGCACCTGGCTTCTTAAATGTTTTGCATAAATCAACAGCTTGGTCTCCCTGTCATAGTTTGATCTTGCCCATATGTCCCCTTTTTGGTGCACCATCTTTATGTGCTCCAGCTCCCCCTGTTTCTTTCTCCAAATGAATAACTAGAAACCCAAGCAGGGAGAATGGGAACCTTTGATAATGATCCCACAGGGTGGGGGTGTGAAGGTTTTATTTTATACATCATTTGAAAATGCTCCCTTCCCCTTTCTTCTGCAGACCCTGTTAATTTTAGAGGTCATTTTGTTTTGTGACTTTGATATTACATAATAAATATTTCATTGGACATTTCTTAAACAAAGATTTTATCAGTAAACTAACAATGTAACATGGACAGATGGCTCTAAATTGTCTATTCAACATCACTGATTACATTTACCTAATTTGACATTAAAAGCATTTGTACCTTTAAATTGAATTACAGTTTATGAACAAAGCAGAGCTAAGACTGCACTGAGCTCAATGAATCTAGCTGTAATGCTTAAAATAATGGCTTTTGTTGCCAAGCAAAATGCTACATTTCTGAATCAACAGTTCAACCGTTCATTAGCATAATCCAAGAATGTAAGAATAAACTATTTATCAAGTTGGCTCACAAAACATATTCATCAGTCAAGAAAAGGTACCTGGGCAGGCATGCTATGTAAATTAATTGCTGTAGGAGTCACCTTTAAAACCATGATTACCATTTGGAGTTGGTTAGCTAATTCAGCGTTTTCTTCCTGATGCGTGTTGATGCTGTTCACTAATGCCAAATATAAAGTAAATGAATATAGCATTTTAGAATATAGCAGAACCTGCAGAGAATTAGAGTTGTCTACTCATAAGATGAAGCTGAGGCTTGTATGCACATTGGGTATACTGCAGTGAATTTTTCATCATTGATATGCTTATTATTAATACTGTAGTTATAATGAATAATTACTGTTTACATGTTAAAGTTTTCATTTTCAGTTCAATGGTCCTTATAGTATTCCCCATGTTATATATAGTGATGGGCCAAACATCCCCGTGTTCAGTTCGTGATCAAACAGTCGCACCTAATGAATGTTCAACAGTGAACTTCAAACAATGCAAATCTATGGGACTCGAACTTCTAAGTGTAAAAGTGCCCATTTTGAAGTCTTATATGCAAGTTATTGGTCATAAAAGGGGTATGGGGATTTGGGTACTGTCCTGCCATGAATTAGTTAAAAAACGTTTTTCAAAAAGTACAGTTTTTAAAGGGGCAGACATTTTACATTGCTTAACCTCCCTAGCGGTCTGATTATGTCAGTATTTCTGTGCTCAAAGTGGTACATTTTTTTGCATGGAAATATGTTGTTTTTTTAATGTAGGCCTATAATTCTTAGGAATATCTCACTGAAATCTGTCCGAACAAGAGTCTAATAAACATCCCGGGTATGATAAAATTTAAACACACGAAATCATAAATTATAATATAATAAATAATCATAGAAATTAATAATATAATAATAATAATTTTAATTCAATAATGTAATCAAACCATAAACACTGAAATTTGAAATAGAGCGCCAAGTTCGCACATCACTGAGCAAAGTCGCAAAATCGTTTTCAGTGTCTGATGACGAATTTCCCCACGAATCATTATCACTCAATTCTGCAAGTAGTTCTAATTTACTATCGCTGTTCTCTAGCTGGTCTAAAACCGCTTTTGACCTAAAGGGAAGCTTTTTGGCTGCCATAGACGTTTCTCAGTTTCCAGGCAGAACGAACAGTAAAAATGCAGGCAGGGCACAGGACAAAGCACTAGGGACAAAATGTATGCGGTCCCCACTAAATTCCTACCAGACCCTTTATCCAAGCACAGGCCTGGCAGAGCAGGGAAGGGGGAATGAACAAGTACCCCCCAACCCCCCACGGCTTACCAGGCCACGTGCCCCGACAAATAAAGGGGCACCGTGATGTTACCCCCCCCCTTGTGAATGAGTAAGGATACTTGAACCCCTACCCATTCACTAAAGCATTAAATTTGGTACCAAAAAAAAGAGACCAGTCTTTTGAAAAAATCCTTTATTGAACAAAAAACAAAGCAAAAGTCCAAAAAATTGTTCTAACATTGTAACCATCACCAATCACAGAATCCAGTGTTGTCACAACGGCAACACCTCGACAAAATAAGAAAAAAACAAGGCCCCTAGACCCATCCGCATGCGCCGAGTACTCACCACAATCTGACATTTTCCAGTCAGATGTAAACAATTGGGCAGAGCTAGCAGTGATGTCACCTCTAGCTCTGCCAAATTGTGCTGTAATTGGCCAAAGCATTGCACCTGACCTGTGATCAGGTGCATTGCTGTGGGCAATCACAATGCTCTGTCAGAGCACAGTGTATTATGGGGTGTGGCGAGCAACAGCCCACCGAACGCCCTAACTGTTCGTGTGTTCACTGAACACATAAATGGCCGATGTTCAAGTTGAACTTACATTCAACTCGAGCATCAAGGACATCACTAGTCATTTGTCCTTGTGTGGGGCTTCATGAATGGAGCCCGCTGTGATCCTAACTGCACATATACATAAGAGGTTGCAGAGACACAGAGAGATGGATAGAGAGGGAAAGCATACTTTATCTTTAGCTAAAACTATTTTGGATAGTACATGGCACAGTTAAAATTTTGGGCAGTTTTTTTTTTTTTGCCTCAGTCCTCAGAAGACTATGAGTGCAGAGCAGGGACGGACTGACCATTTGGAAACTCGGGCACTGCCCAAGGGCCCGGGACAGTAGGGGGCCCCATGAGATGCCCCTGGTACCTTTTCATAGGCTTTTTTGAGTTTGGGCAAGGAGACAGGGGCCCCATGATCCCCTATTGCCCGGGGGCCCCATGAGTTGTCAGTCCGCCCCTGGTGCAGAGTGTCATGGCCATGCCTTCTGGGCATGACATGTTAATCTCAAGATGGCAAAAGATGGATCAAAATTCAGTAGGTTTAGCAGGGACTGTCCAAATTTCAAACCATGCGTGCCCACTGAAGTTGAACAGAAGTCAATCTACCAGTCTACTGCTCTTCAATCGTCCTGTTGGATAAAAACAGTTTGATCAGCTAATGGCTGCAGCACTGATCTGTGTATTCTGACAGTGTCCCCTCTGTCAGAATACAATAGAGCAGCAGTAAAGATTCCCCCATCTACCTCATATATGTGGATGGGGAATCAGTTCAGTTTTTTCGTTCAGTCCGCTGACTGAAAGAAAAAAACTGAACCATGTGTGGCCAGCTTCACAGTGCACTGATGCAAGAACAGTGTTGATATCATCACAGCATCACTGCTTTTTTGCAACATTTAGTAACAGTACCACCTACTGCAAGAAGAAGATTTAAAGGGAAAAGGATCCAGCACAGAATGTGACCAGCCAGAAAGCATCAGAATACAGTAAGTTTAAAAAAAAAAAAGCATAATATATTGCTGGTACCACTGGAGAAACCTAATGGGGGTAGGGGAGCAGGGAAACTCTAGAGATGATAAATGGAGCCAAGAGGTATTCTAGTAGTTAAAGTGTTACTAAACCCACAACAGTAAAACCAGTCTGTATATTTAGTAAAGCATGCTTATTATACTCATTGTGGAACCTAAGGGGTTAATCCTCTGCATTGTGTAAAAGGATGTTTGATCCTGTCTACTCTGATCCTCCCCTTCTTCTACTGTCCTCAATCCATTTTGCTGAGAGAACAGAGCCTTTGGGGACAAGCTGCACATGCTCAGTTTGGTGTGTATTGCTAGAGAGTTTTTTTTTTTATTGGGAGAGTGCATGTGATCAGCACACAATCAGCACTGTCCATACAGAGGGCCAGTGCTCCTGCAGCCTCATAGGAAATCGGGGAATGAATGAAAACTCCTCCTGCAAGCTTTAACCCAGTGCTCTGCTGGACATTGATATAATGCACAAGACTACTATATATTTGCTGATGAGAAAAGGTATCTAGCTGTTTATATTCACTAAAATAATTGCATTTACATGTTCTGTGTACTGTGGTAGACCAGATATAGTGAATGTAGGGTCCTGGGTTTAGTAACACTTTAATTTAGAAATATCTACACTGTATCTAAGATGAAATATTGAAAATGCAAGCGTATCAAAATTGTGAATTCCCATCACAAATTATGTTAAGGAACACTGCAAAATAACTTCAAATATGGGCACAGTAGATATACATTATTCTTTTCTTTTAACTACCGTATATATGGAACCATATGACAAGAATAAAACATGCCTGCATTTCTATTGACAAGTCATTAGTGAATTAAATGATAAGAACTGTAAACTAACATTTAAGGATTTGTCTCTGGTTTCTCTTATGCACTGAGATATAGCCTATTCTCAGTAAAAAGTGACAATCTCATTATTTCAGTTCAACATGGTTCTTAACATTTACTGACTGTGTTCAAATGAACTGTGCTCACCAAACTCTGATAACTGATTTCACTGTCAATATCCACTTAAACAACTGCTCTATAATTCAGCTATGCAGTACTAACTAGGCTTTTTAAACAATCCATCAGTCAATTGTTTTATAGTATTCCAGTCACTGGAGCCTTTTACTGTTCACTTTAATAGGGTGAATAATTCCAGACAGAGTCCAAAAGCTACACTAAACATATGGGTTTAAGTCTGTTTTGCTGTAGCTGCATAATGAGTGACTCAATTTGCAAAGTGCTATATTAGCTTGGTAAAGATGTTAAATCACTGGTCATAAGTATTTTTTTTTTTTTTTTTCGTTTAATAGATCACCTTACAGTTTTATGGTTAAACAACTGTGAGTTTCTTTTGGATGTATTTGGGTATGAACTGTAAAACATAGCAAGTGTGTTTGATTGGACTGGTTGATTTACTAAAGACAAAAAGAGGGAAGTTGCACTTTGTAAGCAAGTTTGCCCCGGAGCTTAGTGAATAAGGTGAAGCTCTGCTGACTTTCATCTTCCAATCATGTAAAACCCAAAATGCTGTTTTTTTTTCCCCTTGCATGTGATTTGGTATTATTTGCAAAGGGAATCTTCACCACATTCACTAAGCTTTATGGCAAATCTACTTGCAAAGCATAGCTTCTTGTACAAAATGAACAGCCATTTTCCTTACTAAATCAATCCCCAACAGTTTGTAGACTATTCCCAGTAAAGTGTTGTATATACAGTACAGTATAGTAATTCATTTTATTAGTTTAAACCTTTTGCTTAAGAAAATGTGCACTCTTTAGTCTTCGTGAAATTTATGCAATGTAAAGGAGATGGGCAGGGAAGTTAGACATTGCCCATTTTGTATTCTAAAGGTTTTATTTATTACCATCTATTGTATATTGGAAGGACATGTGATGAGGAATCTTTTTGTTTACTGGGCACTTGATGAATACCTTTCCACTATGCACTGCCCTTGCAAGTTTTAAATTTAAGGCACAAAAGTCTAAACCAAACTCAACAGCCCTATTTATACTGCAACACTGGTGTTCTTTAATGAGAATTTCTAAAGTGATTGTACATCATTTTTTTGTTTATTAGTATTTTTATTTTTTTCTAATATACTTATAAATGTGATATATTGCCTAATAACTTGTATTTTCCTTTTTTGTGATTGCAGGCTCTCCGTTGGTTTGCTTGATAAAGGTTCTGTTTTTTACAGAGTTCAATAGCTCAAAATGAAATTTACACACAAGTGGATGAGTGATCAGATTAGTGGCTCATTCCTAATTAGTGTCAAGAGCTGCCTTAGAGGATACAAAGAATCCTTTAGCCAAGAAAGCTGCTTTTCCCCAAGGAGGGTCTGGATTGAACTAAGAGTACAGAGATCTAGGTCAGCTGTTAAAGTTATTAGATTTTCTCTTTAAACTTATCTCTAAAAATTAGATCAAACACCCAGCTGCTGAACAATGGAATTCTACTGTATGAGTATATGTAATAATATAGCAGAGGAAAGAGCTAGACATCATTTCTTGGGTGGTCGTCTAAAGATAAAATAAAACTTATTTTTTTTACTTTTCCTTAAGAATGGCCAGGGTGTCTTCTACCTCTGTTAAAAAAAACTTAGGGACATTGACTGAAGTGACATTGAGATCAATTACATAACTATACATACACATATCAATTGATAAATAGTCCAGAAAAAAATGTACTTCTTAATAACATTATCAGCTGGTAACTGTAATAGTCACCTAAGCCCCTTCTCGATCCAGCGATGTGCACTGGAGTCTCGGCTATTCCGGGACTCCCTCTCCTCATTGGCTTCCACTGCTGTCAATCACAGCCAGTGAACCACTGAGGAGAGAAGAGGTGGGGCCGAGCCACAGCTCCTTGTGTGAATGGGCATGCAGCATGCTGTGGGGGCACCCAAGAGGAGGTAGGGGCCTGGAGAGCCTGCAGGGACCGGAGAAGAGGAGGATCCGAGCTGCTCTGCGCAAAACCACTGCACAGCAGGTAAGTATAACATGTTTGTTATTTTTAGAAAGAAAATGTAAGCCTTTAGTATCGCTTTAATACTTGTTCACATTGGATGGATGGTGGAAGCAGCACCTACAGACTCAATTTATAAGTAAAAAAAAGTGTGGGTTTCAGCACCAAATTTGAATTTATTGGTAATGTCAAAGCCAGTTCCTGCAACAGAAAAGGGTACAGTTTTGTAATTCTGTTAAATTTTAAGTCATGGCATGTACAGTATATAACTGAAACATTATATACACACATAAAGGAAGTGACACAAACTCCACTGATAGCATGCACAATAAATGTTTATGACTCTCAAGCAGGTAAGTATACCTGTAAATATCTCTGTGGATATGTAAGTGTTATGGCAGTTTCCTACAGCAATCAGATCATGCATTCACCTGCTCATCTCTTTTCTGCTGCTTCACAGGTACCTTGCTTTTTAACCATTGTCCTTCTGTGCCTTTCTAATTTTTCAGTCATCTGCTTTATTGTACACTGTTTTACCCTGCTGTATTTTTCAAAAAATTCTCATAATAGTTTCCTCTGTTCCTAAATTCTCACTCCTGTACCACTCCCATAACTTTTATATACAGTATAAAATATATACAGAGGTTAGACAAAAAAAAATATGAAAACACTACAGGACTCTATATTACTAGCAATGCAAGCAGTGAATAATGGAAGTGAGGCTTCCCACCTGTTAGCTAGGTGTCTCATCACATAGCAGTAGTAAAAGAATGTTACATCACTTCCGCTTTCAACACAGAACACACTGTCACTTTCACACCTGCAAATCCTGTAGTGTTTCCATTTATGTGTCTAACCCCTGTATTAGTCTTGCTACTACTCTCTCCCTTTTACAGCACTCATCACCTCTTTCAAAATGTGAAACCCTGAAGATTATACAGACACAACCTACAGGACATTGAGGTGTATGTGTTCATATACTGTAAATCTTATGTCTATCATTCTGCTTCTCCTAATTTCTGGGGATATTTCCCCTTATTCCTGGCCCTCCACTTTTTAACTTCCTCCTCACACTTGGCACCCTCCCTCCTCTGGCACTAGCCGCAATCCACACACTCTAATATCTATTCCCCTGCTTCTAAGAACCACCCACCTCTTCTCATGTACCTTATGGAATGCCTGCTTTGTCTGTAAAAAGTGTGGAGGGGGTGCCCCAGCCTTTATTCCAAAAATGCTGTTATTGTCTGTAGCAAGCTCTATTCTGTTCATGACTTTTTTTTTTTATCTTCTACTCCATTAACTTGTTGGATTTTCTGAAACTTGGCTTCAGGAATCTGACACTTCCTTTTAACTGCCCTCAACCATGGTGGCCTCCACTAGACTCACCCAGACCCAATGAAGAAAAATGGCGGTGGAATTGGAAGCCTTCTTTTAACACAAAGCATTTTTTCAAGTTCTTCTTCACCTACCTCTCCATGCTTCCATTTTTTTGTGTG